GTAGTCTACACATGGACAGACACCTGACCTTTCTACTGTTCCAATTATCTATTGTTCTCTTCCTAAAACCCATGCGCTTTAACCAGGGGATTTGATTCCAAGTTCAAATAAGAAATCAAGGAAAAAAACAAAACAAAACAAAACAATTATAAGACCAAAACTACAGGCAGTGGTTTATTTTATTGCTTGCTGTTGTGTTTATTTCCCTAGAGCCAGAGTGCTGTGGAGGGGAGCCCCCTTCTCAAGCATGGTTGGTCCCAATACACTGGTGGTGGTAGTAGATTGTGAGGCAGGTCACAGGCAATTATTGTTACTAATTAAAGTGAGTGAATAATTCTTTCTTATAAAAGAGTGCAGCCACAGTTATCTTTATAATACAATTACTTATATCATTTACACTCAGATATGCTCTCTTTTTCTTCTACTCAGTAGAAGAAAAAGCACACCCATCTTGGCCATCTGACTACCTAGTTATGGTAGTTAGATATGGTTATAGATAAAATATTTTTCAGGTGTTTTTCAAAATCTAGTTACACCCATGGTGTGTCTTCAGCATGTGACACAACCTGTCCCCTGTCTAATGACAAGCAAAGTAACTGAGCTCAGTGCACCTAGAAATCTAGATTCCAGACCTACCTACTTGTTTTGCTATCCAGAGGCATGAACCTCTCCGTACCTTAATTTATTCTTCTGAAACACATGACCTTCCTCACAGGGTATTTGTTAAGGGGAAATAAACTATAGACGATCCTTGACTTGCCAGTATTCAAATGATGAATGTTCAAAAACAGCAAGCTTTTCATCTCTGGCCATCACCAACAGATGTGGAGAACACAGGGACCTAGGAAGTGCCTCTGGGAATTTAATCTGCCCTCCATCTCTCGAACGAAAATGCACCATTAAGTTGGTAGGATTTGAAGACATTGCCAAGAAACACTGCAGCACTTGATCTCTGCTGCACTGGACTCCGCTGCTAGCTCATTTTCACCAGTGGACTCAACGGAAGGGGAGGCAGGAGAGAGGAGCATTTGTCCAGGCTTATGCCTACTGTCATGTGTTAAATAATGCCCCTTTTCACAGTGTTCTGCTTTGTAGGG